TTCAATTTCTGCCATTAGGGTGGCATCATCTGCCTATATGAGATTGCTGATATTTCTCCTGGCAATCTTGATTCTAACTTGTGACTCATCCAGCCTGGCATTTCGCATGATGTACTCTGCATGTAAGTTAAATAAGCCACAGGAAGAGAACTGGTCAAATGGGAGAAAGGGGAGCTGAGAGACAGGGAGATGGAACTCTGATGATGTTTAAGACTCTGAAGCTAGACCCAAACTTTCGAGCTTCCAGCTACAGCAGCCAATCATTTATACATTTGATCTACCCACGTTGGGGTAGATTTCTATGATTTGCAACCTGATTAACATGGTTGGTATCTACATTCTTCAGTCTCTGAAAACAGTAAAGAACAAAAGTGGCAAAGGCAAGCTTCACTGTCTCTGGGGGTCTTTTGTGTTCTAATAAGAAAGCTTCAAATGCTTGAGCCCTGAGCAGAGAACCTTTGGCCAAGATACTCAAAATAACATGTAGTTTTAATCAGTACTATGTAAACAGCTTAATCCAAGAAGGAAAAAGAAAAACCATTGACCCAAATAGGATATTGGTAATTATGAATAAGTGCTACAAATGCTTATAAAATAATGCATAATTGCTGAATAAATGAAATACAAACATCCATTTTGTTACTTGGAGAGTTCTTTAATACATAATGGGGGAAACGGTGTATTGAATGCCCTGTAAGCAATAAATGCCTGTTTCCTTTTCCAAAACAAATCAATTCTTGAAACCATTAACCACCATGTAAATGTAACTCTATTTTTTCCCCATTTATTTCTCCCTTTTGAATCTTTCTCATTAGTGGAAGGAAATAGGTTTATCCAGGAGATGGAGCAGCATGGTGGAATAAGCATGGAGTGGAGTGGGATTTGGAAGCCTTTCCTGTTAACCCCAGCTCTGCCAATTACTAGTTCTGTGATCTTGGGTAAGTCACTAAATCTTACCTGGGTTCCAGGTGTAGCAAGAGACTACTGTCTGGAATCTCTTACCCACATCTGAGAGTCGTAGTGATAAAAACCTTTTAGGGCAGCGTCTCTGTCTTTATCATTCATAGGAATTCCCTGGGGACTTCCAAATTTTGCAAGACCTTTGCAGATTCTTGTTATGTTTGAAGTGGGATCCAAGATCTGCATTTTGAATAAGCTCCCAAGTGATGTTGATGTGGCTGCCTTCACACTTTGGGGTAACAAGGTAGAGGGTATCTTCCAGGCTCACAATGATTTTCCTTCTTCTGGAAACTTCCCTGGATTTTAGTGGTGGGCTATTAATAGTTGCTTTTATACCCGCTTGCCATAGCTGTATCCCCATAGCTTGTTCTCCCTTGCCCCCTCTGCTACATTAGAGGTGATTTCTGACCCAACCAGGGTCAAAAGAAGGTCTCATCTGCAAATCTACAACCAGAGTTGGGACATTCACTCACTTGCTCATTCATTCAGCAGATCTTTTCAAATTCTCTCTATGCCAGATACTCTAACAAGCAGAGGAGCTATACTAGTTCGATAAAGCAGGTCTCTGGCCTCACAGAGCATTCATGATAGTACTGTACAAGATAATTTCAGATAAGCTAAGTGCTTTGAAGTGATTGGAGGATTTCAAAGGTTGCAGGGGACCTACTTTAAACAGAGGTGCTGTGGAAAGCCAAGGTCTCGCTTCCCTTTCTACAATGACCTTGGTGGACACAAGTTGAATACAAATGAAAAAACATAACAATTGAAAGAAGGCTGGGTCCCTGATGATTGTGTGCAGGAGAGCCACTCTCCCCTGCAGACTAATTGAACTATGATGAGAATGAAAAAGAAACTTTTATTGCATTAAACCACTGAGATTTCAGGATTTATCTATTACAGAAGCTAGCACTGCTTACCATATATACATAAATTATTGAACTCTTTCTGAGATTCTAAAAGTTGCCATTTTTTCTACTTATATTTGCTGGAGCTATTCTTTACTGGGCTTCCCTGGTGGCTCAGTGGTAAAGACCCGCCTGCCAATGCAGGAGATGCAGGAGACGCAGATTCGATCCCTGGGTGAGGAAGATCCCCTGTAGAAGGAAATGGCAACCTGCTCCAGTATTCTTACCTGCAGAATACCAAGGACAGAGGAACCTGGTGGGCTACAGTCCATGGGGTCACAAAGGAGTCAGACACAACTTAGTTACTAAACAAGGACACCAAAATTCTCTACTATTTGAAAGAATCTTAACAGATACAATTTCTGTGGGAATCTGATGAGCTAATAGTACAAACTATTGGAATTCTGTGAGGAATCATAACTGTAAACTGGTTTTTCTGAAATGTATCCACTTTCTGGATATATTATTAGGGGAAAATTTTTTTTAAAAAGGTTTGACATGTAAATTAATACTGAGGTCAATTTTTTTCCTGGTCATTTCTATCTTCAAATTCTTGTTCAGACCTTTATAAAATCAACTCACTAAATTGCAGTGGGTAGAAATTAAGGAAGCAATTATAAAGTTTATGATTTTCCCTTAAAACATAAGTGCTTAGATTTTAAAAGAGTCCTTGGTGGCACGATGATATTAACATTTAAATTTGCCACATTTCTTCTTATGGGCTATCAACAGGCAGTAAATCTGGACATCTCTTAGAGATGAATTTCCCCAAAGGATGTCCGTCTTACATACTGCATCCTCAGAGGGATATTTTCTTCCTTGGCTGCTGGTCCCAAGAGCATATTGCCGGTCACCTCATTAGCCTTCCTCTTCCCCTCTTCTAATCTTTATGAATGCTGGGAAGGCGGAGAAAAGCTGTTCCTTAGGACTACTTGCTACAACCATATCTCAGTCTCCTAAGACTTATGGCTGGATCACACTTGAGTACAGCACAGATAGGATTAGAGAGGAATGATTCAACGCTGGGGACTTGGCTTTCTTCCTGTGGCCTTCATCAATGTTTATATCCCCGGGCTTGAGGTTTTATTTGTGAGTTTGTGTTTTCACTGAAAATTTAGCAGTAAATGACTTACGTCATATGAGCTTACTGGAGTCTGCATGTGGCAACAGCAGTGTATGAAGTCAAAACTCCTATCCTTTGAGCCATCAAAATGAAGTCTTCTCCAGCCAGGGGTCAAGTAGTGTGTGTGTGTGTGTGTGTGTGTGTACACAGAGTCTGCAGGTTTCCGTGGAACCAGACTTGTGATGAGGAGAAAAAGATGGTCCTCTCCAGGACACCTTTGAATAAGGATGTCAACATTCCCTTCTATATGGCTTTAAAGTTTTTGGTTACTTCAGCAACAAAGGTTCAGTTCAGTTCAGTCACTCAGTTGTGTCTGACTCTTTGCAACCCCATGGACTGCAGCATGCCCGGCCTCCCTGTCCATCACCAACTCCCAGAGCTTGCTCAGACTCATGTCCACTGAGTCAGTGATGCCATTCAACCATCTCACCCTCTGTCATCCCCTTCTCTTCCCACCTTCAATCTTTTCCAGCATCAGGGTCTTTTCCAAGGAATCAGTTCTTTGCATCAGGTAGCCAAAGTATTGGAATTTCAGCTTCAGCATCAGTCCTCTCAATGAACATTCAGGACTGATTTCAGATTGACTGGTTTGATTTCCTTGCAGTCTAAGGGATTCTGAAGAGTCTTCTCCAACACCACAGTTCAAAAGCATCAATTCTTTGATGCTCAACTTTCTTCATAGTTCAACTCTCACATCCATACATGACCACTGGAAAAACCATAGCTTTAACTAGACAAACATAGCTTAACTAGACTTTGTAGGCAAAGTAATGTCTCTGCTTTTTAATGTGCTGTCTAGGTTGGTCATAGCTTTTCTTCCAAGGAGAAATTCTTTTAATTTCATGGCTGCAGTCACCATTGCAGTGATTTTGGAGCCCAAGAAAATAAAGTCTGTCACTGTTTCCATTGTTTCCCCATCTATTTGCCATGAAGTGATGGGTCTGGATGCCATGATCTTAGTTTTCTGAATGTTGAGCTTTAAGCCAACTTTTTCAATCTTTTCTTTCACTTTCATTAAGAGGCTCTTCAGTTCCTCTTCACTTTCTGCCATAAGGGTGGTGTCATCTGCATATCTGAGGTTTTTGACACTTCTTCCAGCAATCTTGATTCCAGCTTGTGCTTCAAGTGTGAAGTCAAGTGGGCCTTAGGAAGCATCACTAGGAACAAAGCTAGTGGAGGTGATGGAATTCCAGTTGAGCTGTTTCAAATCCTAAAAGATGATACTGTTAAAGTGCTGCACTGAATATGCCAGCAACAAAGGTTAGTCTTCGCATCATTGCTCACTCATTGATCAGAAGTGGAACTGTAAAAATAGGGGAAATTAGGGACACAGGAAAATATACATAAATATGGAAACTCAGAGACAGAGATTTTAAAAGATACATGGGAAGTGAATACTCAGGAGCCTAGAGAGCCTCATCCATCCATCACCCACCCATCTATCCATCCACCCGTCCATCTATCCATCCACATATCCACACACTCATTCATCCATCCAAGCGATAACTGAGCTGAGCTCCTCCTATTTATCAAGCACTGCCTATGGTCAACATTGTGTGTGCGTTAGTCGCTCAGGCGTGTCCGACTCTTTTAATCTCACGGACCGTAGCCCGCCAGGCTTCTCTGTCCATGGAATTCTCCAGGCAAGAGTACTGGAGTGGATTGCCATTCCCTGCTCCATAGGAACTTCCCAACCCAGGGATCGAATCCTGGTCTCCTGCATCGCAGGCAGATTCTTTATCGTTTGAGCTACAGGGAAGTCCTGCTCAACGTTGGAGGTACACAAAGACAAAAACGGAAGTCTAAATTGGAGGTGGTTATAGCCGATGTGCCCTGAAAGGGCTTCCGCGAAGCTGGAACACACGGTTTGGGCACGTCGGGAAGATGCATGACGTGAACTCCACACCACCGCACAGGTATTTGGTGGGAGAAACCTGCATACCATAGAGATGCTGAGACCTCCGAGCATCCTAGAGAGGCCGGAAGTGGCTCCAGGAGGCTGGTCCCACGGCTCAGGCGCCAAGTGGGGATGGCGGGGGCGAGAGGAAGGGTCTGAGTCGCCATACTTCAAGCAGTCCCGGCGTCACTGTCGTCTTCTGCTCTGTGAGTGGGTCCGGGTAGGGAGGGTCGCCCCTCCGCCGGGACCCGGGCGCGGCTGGCGGGGACGCCTGGGCTCGCAGGCACGTCAGGGTCCCGCGGAGGGCAACCTCGCCGGCTGCTACCTGCGCGTTGTGGCCGCCCAGGTGGGACGAGCCCGGTGGCCGCTGGTAAGGGGCGCGGTCGTGAGTGATGGCCGACCTGAGTACCCCCCACCCCCACCCCCAACTTCCCCTCAGATTCCAAGCAGCGGGCCTCACTGTCGCTTTCTAGGATCGTTGCAAAGGTCTCAAGCACCGGCTACCTTCTGGTTTTCGTCTTCTTTTTGAAAAAGCTGACAGACCCCAAGCTCAGAACTTTCAACAGGTGTCTGTGTCAAGCTAGACTCCATTCACATTTTTTCTTTATTATAATCGCACTTTGTGGGGGAAAGATTACTTTCGCTTGATGACAGATGATTCTGGTTTTCCATTTAAGTGGCCATGTAAGGTTCCCATTTAAAATGAAGGTATTTATTGCTAAAAGATAAGGAGTTTCAAATAAAACACAGTAAGTATGTACTAGTATCAGAGATAGGGCTTCTCTGGTGGCTCAGTGGTGAAGTTCTGCCTGCTAATGCAGAAGACACGAATTCGATCCCTGGGTCAGGAAGAGCCCCCAGAATAGGAAATGGCAACCCGCACCAGTAATCTGGTCTGGAAAATCCCATGGACAGAGAAGCCTGGCGGGCTACAGTCCATGGGGTCACAAAGAGCCATACACCATTTAGTGACTAAGCAGCAACAAAGTATCAGAGATACCAGGTGTGACAGAAATTATGAAGGTGGTAAGTGAATGACCTAGCTGGGTCCTCCTACTCTGACCTGTCTTCAGGTCCTGGCTCCAACTCAGCCTCTGTCACCTGCATAATTTGTGGGCCAGTTTTTTGCTTTGTTTTAGATTTTTTTCCTCTCAGCTTGACTAGGGTAAAAATAACGTGTGGCGTTGTGTGATTTTAAGGTGCACTACTTGATGACCTGATGCGCATATACATTGTGAAATGATAAGTGTAGTGAGGTCAGTTAACATCTCCATCACCTCACAGAATTACCATAGCTTTCTTTGTGTGTGGTGAACACTCGAAAGATCTACTCTCGCCTGGCGTGCAGGAAGATGGCAGCATCCAGGCAGAGGTCTTGAGATCAGATCTGCATGGAGTTGGCGTCTAGGTCAGCAAGGCGGGCCCTGGTTCACCCTGGGTGGTTCGGCTTTGGGAGCTGCGGGCTTCCAAAGGGCGAGGGTTGGGGTGGGGGGGAGATCTACTCTCCTAGCAGCTTTCAAGCCTATAATTCGATAATATTACATATGGCCCCATGCTGTGTATTTGATCCCCAGAACTCAATTATGTCTTGTAACTAGAAGCTTATACCCTTTGACCAGGATCTCCTCATTTCCCCCATCCCCCACCCCGGGCAACCACCGTCCTACTCTTTGTTTCTATGAGATCAGCTCTTTTAGAGTCTCTGTGTAATCTACATCACCCCACTATTTGTCTGTGACTTATTTCACTTAGCATAATGCCCTCAAGGTCAATTGGTACTGTCACTAATGGTAGGATTTCCTTCCCTTTTTGAGTGGCTGAATAGTATTCCATGTGTGTGTGTCTGTGTGTGTATACATCACATTTTCCTTATCCATTCATCCTTTAATGGGCACTTAGGTTGTTTCCATGATTTAGCAATTTTTAATAATGCTGCAGTGAATATGGGGGCCCAGATACCTTTTCGAGATAGTGATTTCCTTTACTTTGGATATATATATATAAATGGGTAGGCAAGGTTCTTGACCTCTGAGTCTTTTTCTCATATCTGAAAAGCTGAGGATAATAATTACCTCAGAAGATTGTTCTGAGGCTTCAGTGGTAAACCTTAAGCCCCTCGCCCATAATAAATAGTAAATGCCGCCATAGTTGTTATTTTCATTTTAGCAAGGAGGAAAGAGGATCCGAGAGTTTCAGTGACTTTCCCAAGGTCACACAGGGAATTGATGGGAGAAGCAAGTCTAGGACTCAGATTTTCTGCTTTATAACTTAAAAAGCTTAACCCTGCCTCCCCACTACCTCTGCCTCTTGGGAGGGGATGGGGCACCTCCTGCCTGCCCTTCTGGAAATTGGAAGGGCCCCTTTCACATTGCAGAAAGTGTTAGCTGTGAAGGCCCCCATGGGACTCAGGTCACCATAGACTTGGCTGCTTCAGGTCAGGACTCTGCACAGCCCTGAGTGCTTGATATGGGTGAGGTGTAGCCTGTAGAGTCAGATGCATCTGGGTTCTAGTAGGTACAGCCCCCTGCTGTCCCAACTACTGACCTGGCCGTAGTAAATGGGGTTTACCAATTAGTACTTACCTCAGAGGGTTGTTAGTAGCATCAAGGGAAATGATTTGTGGAAAAGGTCTAGCAAGGTGCTCAGCACACAGTAGGTGATTAATGAATGACAGGTACTTTGATATGTTTTAAGTGGCAGGCATGCTGACCTAGAGGGGAGGAAGTACAAGTGTAGTGTTTGCAGGTACAACAGCAAGGGGCATTTGAAAGGTTGCAGAGTACATACTGTGTTTGGATTTACCAGGTCTAGGATCTGTCAAATACTCCTCGTTCCTGCTGACTTTCTTAGAGAAATGGCTTAGGTTTGCATGGAGTTAATATGATAGTTTGGGAAGCAGGTGGAAAATACCGATTATAAAACTATGTGATTAACTTCTATCATAAGCATCAGGAATAACTGCAAGACTGCAAGAATCTTTTGTGCAACAAATGTCCGGCAAGAGTATGTTCCTCGGTTCTATCTCGTCACAACAAAGATTTGCAGTGATGGACATTAAAGCCCTCAGCGCGTCACAGCTGTCAGGTCTTGGATAGACCATGTTATAGCTCTTAGACAAATCAGTGTTACAGCTGTATTTTATTTAGAAAATTGCAGGAAAATCCATCCTCGAGGCGTGAAGGCATGCTGACCCAAAGATGCAAAGAGAAGAGAGTTGGGGAGCATGACAGCATTTGGGGGAGAGAGAGCAAACACGCTTTGGCTCCTCCTTTTATATGTGTGTGTCCCCCCCCCCCCCCCCCCAGGGGCTGCCCTATGTAAATTGGGCTAGCCCAGGAGTGCTCTTTGTTCTACCTGAGGTCCTCACTCTGGTCCTTGGACCTTCCTTTGACCTTCTTTTGTTCTATTTTCGCTGGCTTTTCCCTTCCTTATCTTTTAGCCACTGCCATTCTGGACTCCTGTTTCCTATTCTAACTAGCTAACATTCCCCCCTCAAGAGATGGGAGGCCCAATTCTTTGGGAATAAGGGCATCGAGGACTTCCTGGCTACTTCCTGCTGAACTGGGATGGCGAGGAGTATTGGGCCTCCCCCTCTTGCTAGTCTCAAGCCTCAGAGTCCTTATAGCAGTGTCCATCTAAGGGTGAGTGATAATTTCCATCGTCAGCCGTAGTTTTATATCTTTGTTGAACTGGCACTGTATGTTGTATCTTGTTGACCTGGGCAGAGACAAAACAGGTTAGACAATTGATAATACATGGAGCAATCATAAGCAGCATCAATATGGCATAACAAGGACTAGTAGCGGCATTAGCCAATTCCAAATTCACATTGCCAGGATGGCTCAAGTCCCTCCCTGTTCAGGGATCAGAAGATCTATCTCCTGTCTGTTTTGGAGTAAAATCCCTGCCAAGCTGTGTTGGCTCTTTAGAGCTGTCCTGAGAAATCTTATCCCCAGAAACAAGATTTTGGGGGTGTTCATTAGAATGGCACCCATTTGTAGTTCTGAATAGGCATCTGAGATCTCCCAGGGGCTCACAGGTATATTGAGTGTTTTCTTCTGTTTTCTTCCACGGCTTGACTCGTAAGTAGTGAATCCAGGAGTCATGTCCTGGTACCTTGACTGCTGTGGGGGTAGAAAGTATTACAGGGTAGGGGCCCTTCCATGTGGGCTAGAGTTGAGCCTTTGGGGACCCATCTTTCCAGACTTTAATTAGGACTTGAGTCCCTGGAGCATATGGTGGTGACTCCTTAGAGTCTTTTGGGTCCTGGTTCATACCCCACAAGCATATATCATGTTGGAATTGCCCAATGGCCATGGTATAAGGCTGGAGGGCCTATACCTCTGGATCTAGGGAGAGGTCATTGACATAAACAAAAGGTCTTCCATATAAGACCAACCTGTTCCTTAGGGGCAGTACAGGTGTGGAGGAGAGCTATTGGTAAAGCCTCCTTCCATCCCATGGAGCTTTCCTGGGTTATCTTTTTTATCGCTGATTTTAAGAATTGGTTGGCTCTTTCTACTTTTCCTGAAGACTGAGGCCTCCAGGCACAATAGAGATAATAAGTAATGCCCAATGCTTTAGAGACCCATTGGGTGACCTTAGAAGTAAATGATGTCCCAATGTCACTTTGTAATGACCTGGGCAGACCAAATCTTGGAATGATTTCATGGAGCAGTTTTTTTACCACCTTCTCAGCTTTCTCAGTCCAGGTGGGAAAGCCTTCAATCCATCCTGTGAATGTATCTATCATGACTAATAGGTATTTATACCCTTGAGAAACTGGCATCTGGGTGAAGTCCATCTGCCAGTCCTCTCCTGGATAGGCCCCACATTGTTGGACAGGCTGGGCCAGCTGGGGTCTTCAAGCTCCTTAGAGGTTGTTTAACTGGCAAGTAGGACAAGAGAAGACCACTTGCCTTATAGTTGTTTGGAGGCCTGTTCCTCTGAAGGACCTTTCTAGTAATCTTTGGAGGGCCTTTTCTCCTAAATGAGTGCTGACATGTAAAGAGTTAACCAACTTCCATTGGAGGTTTCCAGGTAGAAAAAGGAGTCCCTCCTTTTGCAACCACCCCATATGATCGTCTTGAAAGCCCTCAGTCTTAGCTTTAAGAGTCTCACCTTCAGTATATGAAGGAGTTTCTGGCAAATTAGTCTGTGAAACTAAGGTGGCAGCCCCTACTAGGCCATTGTTCTGTAACGCTGCTCTCTTAGCTGTCTGATCGGCTGCTTGGTTCCCTCTTGCCACTTCAGTGCTCCCTTTTTGGTGTCCTTTACAGTGGGAGGCTGAAACCTCAGTGGGCAGATGGACTGCCTCCAAGAGTCTAAGAATTTGATCACCATATTTGATTGGGGGCCCTCTGGTGGTCAAGTGGCCCCTTTCTTTCCAAATAGCAGCATGTGCATGTAGCACCAGAAAGGCATACTTGGAGTCAGTGTCAATAGCTATTCTTTTTCCTTTTCCCAGCTCTAAAGCTTGAGTCAGGGTTATGAGCTCAGCTAATTGGGCTGAAGTACTTGGTGGCAAAGGTTTAGTCTCTATGGTCTCAAAATTGGAGACTACTGCATATCCGGCTCTTCTTTTTCCATCTAAAACAAAGCTGCTTCCATCAGTGTACCAGATTTCCTCAGGATTGGTCAGAGGATCTTCCGACAATCCCTCTTGGGGTTTTGTCCAGTGGTCCAAGGTTTCTAGGCAAGAGTGAAAGGGGAGAGAGCCCTCAGGGGTAGGTAGGAGGGTGGCTGGGTTAAGAAGCTCACAAGGGGATATAGTGAGGCCTGAATTTTCCCTCAGCATTACTTGATATCTGAGGATTCTTTGATCAGACATCCATAAATGGTCTTTACCATTTAGGGGTTGTTTTACTTGGTGGCTGGTAAAAATAGTTAGTTTGCCCCCAAAGGAGAGTTTTAAAGCATCTTCTATCATGATTGCAATAGCTGCAAGATTTCGAAGGCAGCGGGGGGCCAGCCTCAGGTGGTTGGATCGAGCCTCTTGGATAAGTAAGCTACAGGCTGGGGCTCAGATTCCAACCTTTGAGTTAACACTCCCAAGGCTATTCCCTTTCTTTCATCGACATAAAGTTGGAATGCTTTTTTTGGGTCTGGCAACCTCAAGGCAGATGCCTGAGTTAAGGCCTGTTTTAGTGTAGCCTCTGCCTTCTTTTGAGGAGCTCCCCACATCAGTGGGATTGAATCATCCCATCCCTTTAAGCTTTCATATAAGGGCTGGGCAATTAGACCATAGTTCGGTATCCAGATTCTACAATACCCAGTTAGCCCCAGGAAAGCTCGCAATTGTTTTCAAGTCGTGGGGGAGGGCAACTGGAGGATTCCTTGTACCTGATCAGAGGACAGCCTCC